AAAAAATTGAAAATAAAGTGCAGCAGTAATTATTAAAAAATATTCTTGCCATAAGGCGAGCCTCCTGTGCAGCCCACTGAACCAAAGCGTTTTTTGCAGAGTGCCATTCACCTAACTTCTCGCTCGTTGAGCCAATTTTTTCGCTCAACGTTTTAAGGTGAGAATCCAAAAGGCCATACTGCTGCTCAATTGCGGAAATCTCACGCAGCATAATTTGTGATTCTTCTTGTCTACTTGGACTTTTTGCATGCATCCTGCAAAACTAGGGGCGCTGGACGTCATTTTTAAACCCTACAGCAACGCAACTGGCTTCAACTTAAATTAAACAGTAAGCCAATAGTAAATCAGAAAAAATGAAACGCTTCTCCGGTTGTAAGTACAAATATACTTTTTTAATAACGAAAAATAATAAAAAAAAGTTGGTATATAATGCATCCAAAAAAGTTGAAATAACCTTGCGATAGTCTCCAATTCGATAAGTTTAGAGCCAACTGCACTAAAGCTATCTAATTCAAACTGTCTTCTTCGATGTTCATTTTGAAGTTCCTCGCAAACATTCCTCTGGACCCCCAATTCAGATTCATCAAGAGGGATTTTTTCTAGCTCTACAAGAACAACTGGAACTTTAAAGACAACAATTACTGACTTCTTACCTACAGTTCTGTGGCAAATGATGAATAACAAAGGAATTTTTGGTGAGCAAATAAGGAATGATTGAGTTGGTCTTAACAATCTGAGCCAGAAAACGTCAGCGTCCCAAGTGAAAATAGCACAGTTTTCAGAAGAGAAATAGATTACAAAGAATTTTGCCTAACACACTTTCCAAAAAATTTATATTTATCGACCAAGCGATACAAGGTAAAAAGAGCCCGAAATAGTAAGATGTAAAAGTGTCCTTTTTTAAGTTGAACCTTCAATCTTATTCTTCAATGAATTAAGCCACGAAAAAAGGGCATCCCGTTGCTCGCAGTACGATTTCTTTAAATTGACCAACTGTTCGCCTTGAGAAGAAAGTGTACCAAGCTTATCAAATAAACTCTCAATATCGTGTTGAATCCCGTTCATCTACAAGTAAGTATACGAAGTATTTAATTGCAACACCAAGCAAGAAAGGATTGCTAATAACAAACAAACAGTTATTTAAGACTTTGTTATCTCTGCAATAGGAAACGACGAGAACAAAGAGTTGTAAAGTTGAACAAAAATCCACTACTCACTTTATCAGTAAGAAGACTAGTTTCAACTATATTTGGCATTCTTAAAATTCGTTTCTGCTGCTGTTGCAAATCATTCCAATCCTTGTCCACTAAATGATCTAAACTTTTACTGAATGCCTCTATTTCTCCTCTGTCCGCGGGAGATAAATTTTCCAGTCTTTTCTCCAGAAATGACAGCTTCTCCCTTACTGACCGTTCTTCGCTGTCAAATGTGGAAAGCATCTTGCACAAGTCTGCTATGTTTTCACAATAAGCCTAAGAAAAACCAAGCAATATATAAATAATCAAGAATTTTTTGTAAGAGCAAAGAGTTCAGCAACAAAAAAAGTTTCTGGTATTCAAAAATTCTACAAATTTCTCCAAAAATAGTAAAGAGACTGATGCACCTTTGACAAGCTAATAAGTGACGGAAACAAGCTCTCGGCTTTACGATACTGCTCAGCAAGCTGCGAATTAGCAGAGCCAGAAGAGCCTGATGAGCAATGTCGAAATATTTCTTTACCAAAATCATCCAGAACTTTCTGTTGTGACATCAGCTCCCTGTGTGCTAACTCGCCTTCATTTCTCTGCAAAAGCAACATTATATGAGAAGTATCTCTCAACTTGAATACGAAGCAGTAATTGGTACAGAACTGTTACATTTTTATATCAAACTACTATCCGCAAGTCAAACTTCACAATGTTTAAAAACATTAATTACATATAAATAAAAGATTCATATGAAAAGCACCAGTTCAGAAAGCTGATTTAAAGAGAGTGGTAACTGAGGAGCTTGCTTCAACTTTTCTTCTTCGGTTTGAAGCCACTGGAGTAAACCTTTAAGGCCTTCTCGAAGACCTTCGCTCCTAGCAATTTTGCTACGCCACGAATCAACGCTCTCTTCAATCTTTGCGCAGGTGCGACTTTGTCTAAAAATTGAAATAAGGGATTAATGTGATTTGGCAAAATCTGCAAGTAAATAAGGGGTACCTTCGCTTAAATTCATCAAAAAGTTGTTTATTTTCCAAGACAACTCGCTCCCGAGCATCTGTTCCCACTAATGCCTCTTCAAGCTCAGCAGACGGTTTCATAATTGTCTCAAGTCGGCTACCGTGCTCAAAACACGTGGCATGAAGGCTTTGAAGTTCGGTTAAACTAAAAAAATTAAAAGTTAAAACTTTCTTAAAAGGTGCCACAAAGATGAGGGCAATATGAACCCACAGTTCCGAAGCAAAAGCGTTGTCAGTTATCTCGTTCGTAGTTGCAACTTTCTCAACAGCACGATTTGATTGCTGCTCAAATTCGGAAAATTCTTTCTCAAAATCATCAATGTTCTGCTTGTGTAGTGCCGAAAGTGAACGCAGCTTCTCCAGGAACGCTTTCAAATCGGAACATTCTCCCAAGAGCAGGTCATAATCGGTCTAA